ATAGACTTTCATCTCGATTTTTAAACCAAGATTTAAAGCAAAATAATAACTTCACTGTTTGACACGAAACTAACAAATTGATAGCTTGCTCCTATAGATGTTAGTGACGTTTAACACACGCACACTAGCGGGCGTATCACCATAGAGGTAACTCTAAGACTAGAAGGTCCCGAAGAAACGAGCTCAACTTTTTGGCTCAGCTCTGGTACTATCTTCGGTCCCAAGCTAATCGATGCACCCCTCGAAACATAGGGAAATCCACTAACCCCTCATTCTATCTGTCAAACTTTCATAGCGAATCAAAATAAACATAATGTAGTACTAGAATTTCGACTAGAATGGGGTACGTTAATCGATTTGCTTGGGACCAATAGGCTAGTCAAGTAGTGAGCCAATTTAAAATCGTTAGTTTCGTATTGATTGTTGGTATCACCATGTAAAGTTGATTATTATTGTCCTCTGGGTAACTTAATAATGTATGAATTTAGATCGGTCAAATTGAGTTTGACAGCGATTTTTTATATATTTTCCTCAGTTTTTGACTAACACGCTCTATACAAAGGCCTACCGAGGGGCGCTTAGATGGTGCATTTTGCTGATGTAATCGTGCTTATTTAAAATAGTTCCAGTGTACCAAAATATATAATTCCAGATGCTACAAATGGAGATGCCAGATGTTACCAACTTGGATTCCCAACGTTCCCAACAGAAGGGATGAATCAACTATGGAGCAATTCCATTCAAATTGACGATTTAAAAAAAAATCGGCTCCGATTTTGCACCGATTTAGTGTAGAAAAGCGCTAATGAAAAAAAAAATACACTGAAAAATTATTATGCGATTTTTGCAACATTATGAACTTCATTGCTAAAAAATGAAAGTTTTCAAAACTGAACTTTTTGAGAAATTAAATTTTACACAACTTACCTTATTTTTATCATCGAAATAAACAAAAATGATTACAGTTTATATTTTTTACAGAATTGCCAAATGAATATCTAAAATTTTGCTTAAGACACCATATCAATCGAAGAAACCGTTTCGACAATATTTATCGAAGTGACGTAGCGGCTCGAAAACTTTGGTGACGAACCTGCTATTGTATTTTTTCAGTGTACCATATGGCAACACTACTACCAACCGGTGGAAACTGGAGATTTTAAATTGGCTTACTACTTGACTAGCCTATTGGTCCCAAGTACATCGATTAACGTACCCCATTCTAGTCGACATTCTAGTATTACACTATGTTTGTTTTGATTCGCTATGAAAGTGTGACAGTTAAAATGAGGAGTTCGTGGATTTTCCTATGTTTCGAGGGGACCATCGATTAGCTTGGGACCGAAGAGAGTACCAGAACTAAGCCAAAAAGTTGAGCACGTTTGTTCGGGACCTTCTGGTTTTAAAGTTACCTCTATGCTACTACTGGATTGTACTAGCATTTTCACCAAATGTATTAGAATGTTTTGATTCTATCTCTTTCACTCTACTCAAAACTGAAATGCATAAAAAAAATGACAAAATGATACACTCTTTGCACACTGTCAAAGATCATTGCACACAAAATCAACTTTGTTCAAATCAAAACAAAAATACTAGCCCATATGGTGGCTGATGGCACAAGCTTCGAAGAAAATTCTATTACAGCGAACCACATTATTTTAATTAATTATATGATTTGAGTAGTAGCTATATTCAAGATCCGAGAGATGTCGCCCCTTCAGTGGTAGGAAAATCATTTTTGCACTATGGAGAATATCAGAAAATCCACGATTTGTGACTAAACATGTTTTCACAGACGGAAACAAATAAACGAGTGTTTGCCTTATCACCATAGTAATGTACTCGTGCAATTTTTGTGCATCTAAAACTGCCCATAAAGACGATAGTGATTAAAAACTGAAAATTTTCATGCATTTCCAAATGATTTCCTACCATTCCCATACATTCGAAAGTGAATGGCCCTCTGGATGTGGATGATGTCAAAAACAACAAAACACGATTAATTGATTTCTTCGCCAGTTAGTCGTCTGTCACTTCGTTTACGATATTTATATTTAAACTCATTAGTACTATTTTTACACAGGCCCTGTTGGAAAAGTAGTCGTGACCCAATGTGAAAAATTGATAGCATAACATAGCATTTTTACGAAAAAGGAAAAACTGTGCAAAATTTCAGCTAAATTGGAAATGATCGGTCAGGATCGAGCCGCGAGGTCCAGCATCCAAAATTCATCTCCAAACAAAGCAATTCTCCATCGCCACAATGTTTCCCATGTGACACCATCCCATTTCCAGTGAAAAAGCAACACGTTGACCTTTCCGAATCAGTGGAGGCCAATTAATACCCACGACAACGTGCGCTTCACCACCGGTATCGCCACAAATTCCCTCTCGTAGCGTGCAAGTACGCCATTCATTAGCCAAACCGGTATGAAAAGGTACCCACCAGTGACTTTCACCCACAGCTGTCAGATTCTGAGACAGGGGGTGCGCCAACCACTGACTACCGCCACCGCTACCACCACCACCACCACCACAACCGCATGTAGCGTACTGACATCGTACATTGTACCCACCAATATGGATCGATTATAATTATTCAAACATCCTGCCCGGCAGCATAAATCACAATGCTACTGCTGCTGGTCTCAGAATGCAATGCGGTTGAAGTGTACATCATATTTAGTTGCCAGCAACAAAGTAACGCCCGGCTGTGGGTGCTGCATGCATTTGCCTGCCTCCAAATAAGCCGTAAACTATCTGCCGTTTAGTGCAACAAAGTCAGTCTCGTGCACTTGCACACATGCACGCTTGCATGTGTACGATCGCACGCCTACTGAGTGCGATTAGAAAAACGCGAGGGGTGATTCGCGAGTGCTGAAGTTCGTCGGCTTGTCTAAATGTGAGTGAAGTGACGTTACATCTCTGGATCGGTAGTATTCTAAAAATATTCACATCGCTACTAGAATACAGCCCTTGTAGTGTAGTGACGATGACGACAAAAGAGTAGTAAAATAGCAGCGATAGTCGTGTGGTTGGTTGTAATTGTCGGGCGAGTAGGCAAATAGTTTTCTGTTGAGGCTGGTCAGGCCTTCATTACATTCATTTCTAGTTTGCTGCCGTGGTGGAGGAATGCCGGTTGGTGATGTTTACCAGTCACTAGCAGCGAGTGGTCAAAGATTACGCAACATTGTTGTTATTCTTTTGAGTGGGGTGTTTGTTTATCACGCCGCAGTACGGAGTACGGGAGACTTCCTGGTTCGGCTTCTGGAAGCGATTAGAACGGTTCCCTTTCACTTTAACCGTTTACGTGGCAGCCACTTTGATGTAAATGTCATAAATCCGAAAGGATTAGAAATTAGCCGCCGAAGCAGACTTCCTCAATCGTCATCATACTGTGAGACTAGCTGTCAGATCATGTTCTAGCGGTCGCCGTCGACACGAGACTCGCGTGACATAAAAAAATGCCGATTCTGACAGGTCTAACGAAGCGCACAAATTGACACGAAGTTTTGCACTTGACTACAGAGTTATTACCGAGGGGCAATTCACTGCTCTCGGGAATGAATCGAAAATACGTTAATAAAAAAAATACACAAAAATTCATCATTACTCGTCATTATTCAAAAAAATGCAAAAAAATACAAAATTCGGAAAAAAAATACAAAAATATTCGACGAATAATAAAAATACACGATAATTCGTCATTTGCACGAAAAAATCGAAAATATGTACAATCAAAATGCTGAATTCGAACAAAATGCGTAAATTTATTATTTTGTGTTTTAATCCGAGCTTGAATCACACAACAATGCATTAATGAGTACAATTTCGCCCATTTTTAAGAAAAGTGCCTTAAATCATTTATTAAATAAAAAAAAACATTTTGAGTAGTTGTGAGCCACAAATAAGTAACGATAATTCATTAATGCGTAATGTAACAAATGTAGCGTAATGTAACAGATGCTTATTAATGCGTAATGAGCGAGGTAAGGGGCTGTTCATAATCTACGTAGACAATTAAGGGGGGGATGGCAATTATTCGCGGCCCATACAAATTTTAAAAATTTTGTCGGGACATTTGTCTACGCAGCTTTATAAGGGGGGGGGGGGGGGGGGCGAGGAAACCCAAAAAAACTGTCTACGTAGTTAATGAGTTAAGCCTCTTTTCTTTAAAATGGGTGAAATTCTACTCATCAGTGGGTATTTTAAAGTTCACGTGTGTTGTGCATTTGTCAAACAAAACGTCAACATTGTGAGTTTGATCCGTTTGATCCTCGGTTTGAGTGGTAAACATAAACACTGAAATGACAGAATACACTTATATCTGATTTTCAATACATTAATGCATAAAAATACACTTTTATTTTTCTAATACACAAAAAAATACATATATTCAAAAAATACAAAAAAATACATTATTACACAAAATACACGTTTATTCGATAAAAAAAATACTTCAATACGTTCATCAATACGTTGGCCTGAATCGAAAATACACAAGTGAATCGCCCCTCGGTTATTACCACTGCCGACCGCTGACAGCGGGAAATTTGATATTTTTACAACCGCGAGAGGGGGCCTCCCTTAGCTCAGTCGGTAAATGCGCAGCTATAAAGCAATACCAAGCTGGGGGTGGCTGGGTTCGATTCCCGGTCCGGTTCGGGTTGATACAATACTAGACTTATATAGCTCTCAATTATAACAACAGCGGAAGCGCTCAAAGGAACAATAAGTTGAGAGCTGACGTATAGTCTCAGTAGGGACGTAATAAAGCCAAAGAAGAAAAAACTCGCGGAGAAGACTGCCTTCGGCCGTTCGAGGTAGGCGTTGCAATATGATATTCGACCTAAATTTGCGCTGCTCGGGCCGCGGTCGCCGGAGAGGCACATTTTGCTGTCGAAGCAATCCAAGAATGATTAGGAATACGGTTAGCCTACTAAGCTGCGGTGGTCTGCCGAAGGAAAAAAAAAATGCTATAAAATAAACAAGCTTACCTTGATCGAATAGGAGTTTATCCGTTGCCGGGGTAGCATGTTGAATGAGGAAAAATCCAGTCGTCGGGAGAAGATGCCATTGGCGCCAGATGTCGCCCTGTGCGGGAGAAAGAGAAAATGTCAAAAAAAGGGTTAATGTATGTGTGTTGATTTATTTATGAGTGATAAACATGAGCGATGGGTGAGTTTTTTCGACAAAATATCAATTATTCATTGAAGTTCCAACCGCGTTCCGGACCGGAGCAGAGGTGTGTCTCGTGTGCCGATTGAGTAAATATTTTTATCGCCCGGTATAGGTAGATAAGCGGTTGTTTGGTAAACAACATCGTCGCTTTATCGATGGGTGCGCGATGGAATGTTTCAACCCGTGCCACAAAGTCAAAGTTGATGAACTGTTGCAAAGCGAGCATTTCAAGGTTTCCTCCTCATCGGGCAGCTGCACCAACAAGGGTCTATTCAATAGGAAACAACTCAACACCTACGCCCAAGCACAGCTCCGTCGGCTAGCTTGACCTAGTCCAGTTACAGCTCTCATATAGACAGCCAATTATCGTCACGAAGCGACAATTAGGCTTAGGTATCTAACAAGACGTGCGGAGATGACGGTGATCAGGGAAAAAAAACTTTCATTGACTCCCACTTTTTCCGCGACCTAGGTCACGAATTACACCTAATCCCAACACCGCGCGATGACGCCGTGTCGGTCACGAACTTCTCTGCCTTGGCATTTTTGCAGGCCGAGAATGTCACTTGATTTACAGCAAAACTAGTCTGCACAGCGCCAACTGGAGGCTACCGGTACGATTATTTAATTTCTCGAGGCAATAGATCACTGCTGCACTCTGGCGACACGGCTGACTCAACGGAAAACCGATTCAGATAGGAATGATCCGATTGTCGCCCCCTTTTTCCTATGAACACTTTAGCGTGCGCGGCTAGACATTTGTGGAACGAACGACAGGGCTGTCTATGGCCTGAAAAAGAACGACAACCACTCGATATCCAATTCAATAAATTTGACTTTTCACACTTGAGCTGAATCTCTGCCAAAACGAAAGTCATGACTTTACGTTTTTGTCGATTTTCGGGCAACGCGGAGGATGCTCATCTCAGCTGTCATCGACGACATTCTGACGTGTGCATATAGTGTGCGATCTCCGATTGCCATGCATGGTGGAGCATCAGAAGAAGGGGTGAGTGTTGGGATTTCCATTTTTAGAATCGGTCTTGGAAGGATTTTTTTCTTTTTTTCGTTTCATTTCTTCACAGTTGGTCCTGTTGCTTTTTGCGCTCGTTTGGGGAAGCGTGAGAAAAAACGAACTCGCCGAGAATCTAAGCGTAAACAAATAAAAAGAAGTGGCCCGGCGCGTCCCATGTGTGTGCGGTGGCAGTCAGATGTGAACATTCATCATACCGGCGATGGTTGATGTGCTGCGAAGAATATGGAAGAGGAGTCGCTTTGGGAAAGCGACGCGTGGAGTTGGGAGTTTTGATAGAATTTTAAAGAAGGGTAAAGGCCGTTACTTAAAGAAAAATGCTACAAGATCAGAACAACCCTTTTACCGCCCGACCTTGTGAATGGCAATCGTCTCAACTGAAAGAAGCCGGCATGTGATTCCATTACTGAAGAAAACTTCATTCACCGAACACGCAGACCTAATACAACTTCTAGTGGGATGGTTCCAGACAAGCTTTTTCAGCCACCCACTCACCACCAACAGCAGAATCTTCCGTCTTGCCGTTGTGCGCCGTGAGCGGCGATGCAAAAACTTGAAAATGGCTAAATTTATTACAGAAAATCAAATGATTAATGGTCTTGTAACAATAGATTCATTCCGTTGCTGCGCTGCTGGTGCTGTTGCTCCTGGAACTTGGGAGGATTGTGTTGCACAAGGTAGGACGGCAGGATAGGAAGATGACGGCGGCAGAAAATGTGTATGGGAAAAGTTGCAAGTTTCTGGTGGTTGTGTAGCCAGCCTGGACCAGCGCTTGTGTTAATGGCCGCTTAATTACACTTTATGGCGAGTGTGTTGCGGTCGTCTGCTCTAGGAAGATGAATGTCTTGAAAGGAAGTGACGATTGATGGTTTCGGTATTTTCGGGTGGACAAGAATGGGTCGGATTGCTGCTGGCGATGAAATTCAAGCTCTGCCGGGAGGTTATTGCTTTCAGTCAAGGATTAGCAGTTGATCTCGGCTGGATAAGTACTAGTTAAGTATGGCCTTTCGGGTTGTGCGGCATGGATGGACCGGTATGCGGTAGGTTCGGTGGCATATTATGATTATATAAAGCTATATTGACGGAAAAAGCTATAAATGGGTAATTCCAGCCCAAGTGTATACAAAGTTTTTAAGATTAATGGCACCGATTTCAAGCAAACTTTGCCAAAATGGAGCTTTAGGTAGTGATGAAACATCACTAGAACTATTCCACAGCCGCAGACAGTAATGAGCAATGGCGGACGCACACCTTTTGCCTGTAGATTTGAAGACATACTTCAAATCTCGGCATACATCGTACGAGTTAGGCAAAAGGTGTGCGTTTGACTTTGTACTGTCGCATTAATCGCCCTTCGCTCATTTCGACTTCTATTCAATTTTCATACTGCCGTACTTCTAACGAAACTATCTACCTATCCTCTTCTAAAGCCCATTCTCTAGCTAATAAATTATCACACTTGTCATGTTAAATAGTATTTACAACCAACTCTGAAAATCGCAAACTTCGCGTATGAAGTAACATAAAACACTCTGAATGAATGTACAATGATTTAGGGTCTCCCAAACAACGTCAAAGTGTAGTGATAACACCTGACAACGCACCGCTTCCAAAGTCCTTCCTTTAAGGTTTCGTTGAAGGCGTGGAAGGATTTGTGCGACACTGTATCCTGATATTCGAGTAGGTTCTCGTAGCATGCGAAGACGGGTGACCATTCTTCAAAATTCCCAGCGAAGGTCGGTTGTTCCTTCTTAACAACTTGTCACTCTGAATCTCAACTTAGAGTCAGCGAAGAGTCATCAAACAGATTGCTAGGGTTTGTTGGTTGAAACACGCTCACTTGAGGATTCCCCGTTTACCTACATTGTACCAAAACATCATCCTCTGTTCGAATTGAACATTAATACGGGAAGCGAACGGACCTCAGTTGAAATACGTAATGCTCTCTGTAGAATGGTTGTCATTCCAAATTGAAATGCATATGGTATTGGTTCAGTCCCATAACGCAAATCAGCCAAAACGATGATGCAAATAATTCTATAGAACGTCATTTGCTGATCTGAGCTGTCAAACGAGGTGGAAACATAGCCATCGCTATCAGAGGTGGTACCAACGTTACCAGATTATTTTAAAGCTTATCGGTATCAAAGGTTTTAAAAAATCGGTAATAATCGGTATTTACTATTCTAATTAATTTATTTTATTTTTTGCCGTTTTTGAAAGCGAAAATTTTATTTTTTGGACTATGATCGAATTTTTCCGGAAGCAAACTCCGGGAAATGTTTGAATTAGCTTCTGAAGGAAGCTGAAAAACACATGCAGAGAAAGAAGAAAGAAGCTCTCCTTGTCGAAGTTTGAGGAAAGTTCTTAGATAAGTTGGAAAAACATCCGGGGAAGACAAGAATTGATTCGAAAATTTAAAGAACTAATCGAAAAAAAACAATCGTTTGTCACATACAAAGGAAACCATCACAGTTTCGGAATTAGGAAGTAAATTCCTGATGTAGCCATTTCCAGGGGAAGCCAGAAGAAGCTAGAAAAAACCTTCCAATAGAAGCTCGAAAAAACGTATGGTTTATGGACAAACTTCCAGAAAAAGAAGAAGAAAGAAACTTCTGGAAGAAGTTTAATTGAACTTCCTGGAGAAGTCGGAAGAAACTTCCTGGAGAAGCTGGCAAAAACTTCCTAAGGTAGATTGGAAGAAACTTCTGCAGAAAGTCGGAAGCTAGAGCGCTTACGGAACATTCGAAAGAAACAAGGACATAATTCCGAAAGAAAGAGTATTTTGGGGTATGTTCTAATGATCCAGCAAATTTTCCTGAATTGGAATATTCCTAAAATGCACTTAGAAATATTACATAATTTCATGGTATTCTTAAAAGTTCTTGCAATTTTCCTGAAGTAAATGAGGCTGTTTTAAAGTTCTCTGATAATCCAAGTACTCCAAGTACTCAGAACTTCCATAATCAAGGCTACCAGAATATCTTTAATCATCTTTGAATGTCTCTGGACTTTCTTGAAGGTTACGAAATTTCTTAAGTGCTCTCATAATTTGCTTGAATTTATAGTAACATTAGCATTAAAGTTCTCTGATCTTCGCGATTTTTTTTTAATTGTAACTGCCATTAAAAGGCATGGAACTTCCCATAAAATGTTCTCACAATGTTCTAATGTTTATGTAACTTTCCTTACGTTTCCTTAATTTGCATGAGCCCCTCGGAACATTGCTGAAGTTTTCGGAAATTGCCTGAGTTTCTTGGAGCTCCTTGAAATTAATTGACCGATTGTTTCTCGAGTCATGGGTAGCCGAAAACGGTGAGGAAATGGAAACATTATTCGAAGGAGTATCAAGCATAAGACATTTTTAAAAACTATTTTGTTTAATTCTGAAGGCTCAAAAAATTGAGATTTTCAAAAAGATCCGAGTCTCTCACAATAATTTTCTACAAAAATTGAGCGCGGGCCATAATAATTTTGATTATTTAAAAAAATCGATATAAAATTTTAAAAATCGGTATTCTGAGGAACCTTATCTGTATATCGGTATCTAGTTCGGAAATCGGTATATCTGGCAACGCTGGGTGGTACAAACAGTGGTAAAGCGTGAAACCGAAGATTGTCTATTTTGTGGTGGAGGAAGTTTCCTTTACCAACAAACGATGGCTTTTCAATATGGAAATGTAAACAATTATAAATCTTATTTCAAGCATTTGCAAGCCATCCTTTTCTAAAATTGTTGTCCTCCGAGCGCTGCACGTGTGTCTTCTTCGTTACTTTGAAGTTTGCAGGTGAGGGATGCGGTTCAATTTTTCAGATTTATAAAACTGAGTCTTCTCATATTTCAATGCTAGTTCAACGCTTATCTACGGTTTCGCTTTAC